CAGGAGTTAGTCACCTTGCTGTGGGACTGCATCCTGGGGAAGGGTCAGTAGTTCGATCTTATGGGGGGGCTCCATATAAGCCTAACATGTATATATACAATCTGGCTGTCTGTCCCCGACCTAATGAATTATTATTATTTATAAAAAAAGTCTTTAAAATCAAATTGAAAATTTGTAAACGTGATGTCGATAATCGCACTTTTGAACATTTCCCAAGCCTAAGAAAATGCATGACAGATCTTGAAATTCATAAGAAAACGGAGATTTAGAGTCTTCAAATGCAATTTTCCAGCATCACTGATTCACTGTATGTCAATTTTCTTTCAGATTTACTAGATTCAGGTCACTTGAAGAAACTGCAGAGTTCATATAGTGTGCAGACAATGTAACATTAGTCAAACTTGTTGGCAAAAGTTGCAGTGGATTGATTTTGCTATTATAATTTTGTTAATAAAACAATAATTATACACACATATATATAAGCAGCAGAACTTCTTTCTCCATGAAAGTTCATTATTATTGTTACTAATTCATTAATTTGACCTCTTGTCAATTACTATTTATTAATAATAAAAGCTGTACCATTCAGATGAGTAATTGGTTGCCAAAACAGACTTCAATGTTAAATGTTTTCAAACATTATGCCTTAATTTTCAATTAAAAACGTGAAATACAAATATAAGAATAAATTATAATCTGAGCCTGAAAATTCCCCAATGTGCACGCGAGACCAATTTTAGACTATTGCCAATTTGTGCATCAGTCTACCACCTGAGCGAGGAGAACATTCTCCACTTTATGCATTCCATATACATATATAAACCTAAAGCACAACATTTTGGTTTACAATCTCATTTTGGTTAAGCTGGGATAGGATAAATTAGGTTAGGCTGAGTTGAGTTACTTAAAGAGATGACGTCTAGTGGTGAAAATTTGTTCACGTTTTAGATGGTAAAAAGTTTGGTCCCACGCTCTGAAAAAAGTACGGCAGCTGTAGGGGAACTCAACAAGCCTAACACCTTTCCCAGCTCTCACCGACAATGGGAAATAAAAAAATGATATACAGGTAACTAGCAGTCGGCGGATATTACTTCAGTTCATAAATGGTTTGACGTAGTGCTTAAGCCTTAAGGCCACCAACAAAAACTTTCTGACTATCAGTAAGTTGACTTTTAGTCCTCAACACAGTCTAGGACAAAAGTTAACCCTCAAGTATATGTACACCGAGAGGCTTCTCTAAGAAGCTTATTTCCTTCACTTTGAAAAGTGTTTTTGTCTTCGCTGAGCTCACTAGGCTACGACAAGTGCTCATAAAATTAAATCAACTCGAAGCATCTGGATACATTCAAGTTCAAGTATGTTTGTTAAGACAAGAAAAAAAAATACATCTCAAAGGGATTGAGTAGCTTAGGCTATTTCTACCCCCCCCCCCCTCTACTTCAAGTCCCTCAAGGGGCGCACAAAGTCAGTGAGTACAAATACACAAATCACATTACAAGAATCCCATTTAACATTGCAGGTTAATAGAGTAAACACAGCATAAAAGTGTTACACTCTTGGGGCAAAATTCTTGTAGCTCCTAAGTATTTTGTCTGTCATACCATTATCACATATCCAATCAGGAAACATCTTACTCCTTTATCCTATTTGACCAGCTGTTATTGTTTACGCTCGTGTCTGGCGTTCACCTGACTGTTTACGGAATTTATTCCAGAATTCTTCGAGTTTATCTTGCGAAAGTCAGCTAGCCAGCCAGCCACAACAGCTGAATCAGAACTATTTACAGATGTAAATGCAGCAGACAACTGCCAACTCCGCTTACATTGTTCTCAAGCGCGTAAAGCTAATATCCAATAACAGGGATTAAAATTTGTCCAATAAAATGTGGTTGGCCGCGGTCCACTTCAGGGGAGACAATACTGGCGGGAATGGACTCGTTTCACAGAAAATGGAGCCCATAATGGAGTCTGAGGCAGACTATAGTGCACCCACCAGCTGTTGCCTGATTTACGTCGTATTGTTTGTTAAAACCTGAAACAAAATGAACGCGCCAATATCCTACCATTCAATATATCAATACTGAATTAAAAGAACTCTTAATTAATACTAATGAATGCAAGCATATGTTGTTATAGATTCAGCTACTCGGAACAAGTTTCAAGTAGCACGGGCTATGGTGAGCCCGTAACTTACCTGGCACAGGAGCGGGGCAAGTAGCACGGGCTATGGTGAGCCCGTAGTGGACTTACCTGGCACAGGAGCGGGGCAAGTAGCACGGGCTATGGTGAGCCCGTAGTGGACTTACCTGGCACAAAAGCGGTGCTGAATGAGTGTCTATAAGCATATAATAACCAGTTCTTTACATATTTACAATTCATGCTATGCACAATGTTCCCGTAGGAGTACACGGACGGGCCCAGGTACATAAACGGTGTGTACACGGATACGTAAACGGTGTGTACACGGATACATAAACGGTGTGTACACGGATACATAAACTGTGTGTACACGGATACATAAACGGTGTGTACACGGATACGTAAACGGTGTGTACACGGATACGTAAACTGTGTGTACACGGATACATAAACGGTGTGTACACGGATACATAAACTGTGTGTACAACCCGTCCTTCTAACAGAGTGTCCCATATTAACGTACACTCTAAGGCCAAAAATTGTTGTACTAGAAAATGGCAGCGGCTCGCGAAATTGTCAACAGTATTGAATACTGTCATATATTTTGTTGTATTTCTCCATACAAAAAGTAGTAACATATATAATATCAATAAATAATAATCTGGTGCTTAAAACTCTCATGGATACGCGAGATCAATTTTGAGATGATTTTGACCAATTTGAGCTCACGTTCTCTAAACGGTTCCCCATCACTGGCCTAGTTCTAACCATTCCTCAGGCCCAGGCTCGTTAAAGCTGCGGCCGCCCCCACAAGATGCATTCATACAATATAACATTTTGTATTAAAAATAGGATTGTTCTCACTTATATATTAATGGTTTATATTGAAGTTCCATGTTAGGCGTTACCTTAAGGTTACCTTCAGATGGTTTCGGGACTTAGCGTCCCCGCGGCCCAGTCCTCGACCAGGCCTCCTCACTTCTGGACTGATCAACCAGGCTGTTGGACGCAGCTGCTCGCAGCCTGATGTATGAGTCACAACCTGTTATGTTGTGACTCATAATTATATGATATATAATTATGAGTCACAATATAATTATATTATATAATTCTTACTGTTATAAGTCCCTCACATATTCCTACTGTTATAGGTCCCTCACATATTCTTACTGTTATAGGTCCCTCACATATTCCTACTGTTATAAGTCCCTCACATATTCTTGCTGTTATAAGTCCCTTACATATTCTTACTGTTATAGGTCCCTCACATATTCTTACTGTTATAGGTCCCTCACATATTCCTACTGTTATAGGTCCCTCACATATTCTTGCTGTTATAGGTCCCTCACATATTCCTACTGTTATAGGTCCCTCACATATTCTTGCTGTTATAGGTCCCTCACATATTCTTGGAACAGTAAGTGCCCGACTGACGGTCCCTGTAGCACTCGAACCATTACCTGCCCATACTAGTCTCTGCCCCTCTCACTGTGAGCCTTTGCTTCCTACCCGACAGGTACTCTTTCATCCAACTCATCACCTATACTGATATACCAGCCTGTGTTTCCCTATAGTTCTCATCCAACTCATCACCTATACTGATATACCAGCCTGTGTTTCCCTATAGTTCTCATCCAACTCATCACCTATACTGATATACCAGCCTGTGTTTCCCTATAGTTCTCCTTTCAACTGATGCGTTAAATACCACCCATCCTCACATGTGTAATAATACATATGTGTTATATATATGACATGTACGTATTGAAAATTCCGTTTTGAAACTAAGAAATTTACTAAAAATTCAACTATCAAAATTTCTTAAGCACAATGAAGTACAAAAATCCAACCTAACCTTACATTAGCTAGGCCTAAAGGGATCTTACCTTGAGGTGATTTCGGGGCTTAGCGACCCCGAGGCCCGGTCGTCGACCAGATTCCACTCATCTTAGTCCAAGGTGGAGCAGAGCGGAGAGTTATTAATATGTCGGAGTGAGAAGAGAAGCGGAGAGGCTGTGAGAGACTTATCAATGACTAGTGAGCGTCCATACCGTCTACACACCCCTCCCCACACCTGTCCACACCCGTCAACACCGTCTACACACCTTTCAACACCAGCTACACACCCGTTCACACCGTCTACACATCTTCTTATCTTGAGGATATCTTGAGATGATTTCGGGGCTTTTTAGTGTCCCCGCGGCCCGGTCCTCGACCAGGCCTTCACCCCCAGGAAGCAGCCCGTGACAGCTGACTAACACCCAGGTACCCATTTTACTGCTAGGTAACAGGGGCACAGGGTGAAAGAAACTCTGCCCATTGTTTATCTCCAGCGCCCGGGATCGAACCCGGGACCACAGGATCACAAGTCCAGTGTGCTGTCCGCTCGGCTCCCTACAGCTCACTGTAACTCTTCCGCTGTTGTGTCTTGCACGAGGTTTATATTGTGTTTGGCTCCGTTGTCTCTTAGGCTCTGAATTGCTATACTTTGCCTTTATACATTTTAGGATTACAAAGTCTATAATGTCCCAAACTGTCATGTTGCTAAGATGAGTCTCCCACTGCACTTATTCCAGGAATTGTTGACCAGACCACACACTAGAAGTTGAAGGGACGACGACGTTTCGGTCCGTCCTGGACCATTCTTAAGTCGATAGAGACTTGAATCGACTTGAGAATGGTCCAGGACGGACCGAAACGTCGTCGTCCCTTCAACTTCTAGTGTGTGGTCTGGTCAACATACTTCAGCCACGTTATTGTGACTCATCGCCTGCATATTCCAGGAATTCCTTAGATTTCATTAACTTTCTATTGCATTAACTATATCTTCTGTCTTAGTTATTTTGCCTCTTCTCTTTGTAGCTGAGATCTACTGTATAGTGAACGGCCTTCATGCAGCAGTGAGAGCAAGGTCGACCCTGGCAGGTAGGCCCTCACCTCTTCATTTCTTCTCTACTTTCATTTGTTATTACTGGAAATTCCTACCTGGAGTCTCCACCAGTTTTGCTCTCCAGGTATCAGGTCCTCTATAAGGATCAACCAATTAACATCATATTTCCCCCCGTGGCTGAATTCACCGATGATGGCCCAATATATACTCATTGGGATATGTTTATGCTTATCTTTTCTAACCTCATAGTCCTGAATATACCTCCACTCCTTGGCTACCAGTATCATTGTTCTTTCCGCTGTAACAATTCTTGTTAGAAAATATGTGTCTTGATGACATAGTTATCTTGGGACTGCTGTGACAAAGATCACTTTCATGTTCCTGGTCTCTGTTGTAGCTGTTACATCTGGAGCTGCTTTATAAGCTGTGTTTTCACTATTTGGAGATATTACTACATTAGTATACCATATCTTGAGATTTATCTTAGTTACTCTGTTGTAGTATCTGTAAGGGGAAGTGGGGGAGAGTATGAGGGAGTAAAGGAGAGGGAGAGAGTACAAGGGGGTGTAAGCAAGAGGGAGAGAGAGAGTACAAGGGGGTGTAAGCAAGAGGGAGGGAGAGAGTACAAGGGGGTGTAAGCAAGAGGGAGAGAGAGAGTACAAGGGGTGTAAGCAAGAGGGAGAGAGAGAGTACAAGGGGGTGTAAGCAAGAGGGAGGGAGAGAGTACAAGGGGGTGTAAGCAAGAGGGAGAGAGTACAAGGGGTGTAAGCCAAAGGGAGGGAGAATGTAAATATAGATGGAAGTACAAAACATGGAGAAAGGTTAAGGGGAGGAAGGGAGCGTAATAATAACTTTTACTCAGTAGCAGCTGTACTCGCCTAGTTCTACTCACCTAATTGTGCTTGCGGGAGTTGAGCTTTGGCTCTTTGGTCCCGCCTCTCAACCAACCTCTCAACCGGTACCATCTGGGAGGTGAAATCCTGCAAGAGTCAAATAGAGAGAAAGATCTGGGGGTTGATATCACACCGAATCTGTCCCCAGAGGCCCACATCAAAAGGATATCATCAGCGGCATATGCTAGACTGGCCAACATAAGAACTGCCTTTAGAAACTTGTCAGGAATCGTTCAGGAACCTGTATACCACCTATGTCAGACCAATCCTGGAATATGCAGCTCCAGCCTGGAGTCCATACCTAGTTAAACACTAGACAAAGTTAGAGAAGTTTCAGCGGTATGCTACCAGGCTCGTCCCGGAACTGAGTGGTACGAGTTACGAGGAAAGGCTAAAGGAGCTGAACCTCAGGTCCTTGGAAAACAGAAGAGTAAGGGGAGACATGATACCCACCTACAAATTCTCAGGGGAATTGACAGAGTGGACAAAGACAAACTCTTCAGCACGGGTGGAATACGAACAAGGGGACACAGGTGGAAGCTGAGTACTCAGATGAGCCACAGAGACATTAGAAAGCATTTTTTCAGTGTCAGAGTAGTTAATAAATGGAATGCATTAGGAAGTGATGTGGTGGAGGCTGACTCCATACACGGTTTCAAGTGTAGATATGATAGAGCCCAGTAGGCTCAGAAAACTGTACACCAGTTGATTGATGTACGGGAGAGAGGCAGGACCAAAGAGCCAGAGCTCAACCCCTGCAAGCACAAATAGATAAGTACATTTAAACGAGTACAAATAGGTGAGTACACACACACAACACACACACACACACTGCCAAGCAATCTATACAACATTTGTTCGGGCAATACGCAGTACCAGTAGATAGAGAGAGAGAAAGACAGAGACAGAGAGAGACAGAGGGAGGGAGGGAGGGAGGGAGAGGGAATGACATTTTAAACACAACACACTGATTGTAATTAAATGTAATTATGGCAGAGCGCAGCTAGTACCTCCAACAGGGGCATACTTCCTCCTATATACAAGACAGGAACTACCAAATAATCAACTCTGGAGAGCACGTAACTTTTATATTGAATATCCCAGAGGTGCAGTGCCTCCTACAGGAGCAGTTTGATGAGTTCCTAGCAAGTTTGGTCCTGGCAAATGGTGTGGTCTTCCCTGTTCATACCTCCTGTTCCTTCAGGGATCCCCTCATCACTGACCTTCTTGCAGCCGTAGTTACTTGAAGGCTTCTGGGGTACATCAGGGCTTGTGCTTGTGTTGTCATGAGAGACGGTGCTTGTGTTGTCATGAGAGACGGTGCTTGTGTTGTCACGAGAGATGGTGCTTGTGTTGTCATGAGAGACGGTGCTTGTGTTGTCATGAGAGACGGTGCTTGTGTTGTCATGAGAGACTGTGCTTGTGTTGTCATGAGAGACGGTGCTTGTGTTGTCATGAGAGACGGTGCTTGTGTTGTCATGAGAGACGGTGCTTGTGTTGTCATGAGAGACGGTGCTTGTGTTGTCATGAGAGACTGTGCTTGTGTTGTCATGAGAGACTGTGCTTGTGTTGTCATGAGAGACGGTGCTTGTGTTGTCATGAGAGACGGTGCTTGTGTTGTCATGAGAGACTGTGCTTGTGTTGTCATGAGAGACGGTGTGTGTTGTCATGAGAGACTGTGCTTGTGTTGTCAGAGAGACTGTGCTTGTGTTGTCATGAGAGACGGTGCTTGTGTTGTCATGAGAGACTGTGCTTGTGTTGTCATGAGAGACGGTGCTTGTGTTGTCATGAGAGACGGTGCTTGTGTTGTCATGAGAGATGGTGCTTGTGTTGTCATGAGAGACTGTGCTTGTGTTGTCATGAGAGACTGTGCTTGTGTTGTCATGAGAGACTGTGCTTGTGTTGTCATGAGAGACTGTGCTTGTGTTGTCATGAGAGACTGTGCTTGTGTTGTCATGAGAGACGGTGCTTGTGTTGTCATGAGAGACGGTGCTTGTGTTGTCATGAGAGACGGTGCTTGTGTTGTCATGAGAGACGGTGCTTGTGTTGTCATGAGAGACTGTGCTTGTGTTGTCACGAGAGACCGTGCTTGTGTTGTCACGAGAGACGGTGCTTGTGTTGTCATGAGAGACCGTGCTTGTGTTGTCACGAGAGACGGTGCTTGTGTTGTCACGAGAGACGGTGCTTGTGTTGTCATGAGAGACCCTGCTTGTGTTGTCATGAGATACCGTGCTTGTGTTGTCATGAGAGACTGTGCTTGTGTTGTCATGAGAGACTGTGCTTGTGTTGTCATGAGAGACGGTGCTTGTGTTGTCATGAGAGACGGTGCTTGTGTTGTCATGAGAGACGGTGCTTGTGTTGTCATGAGAGACGGTGCTTGTGTTGTCATGAGAGACGGTGCTTGTGTTGTCATGAGAGACGGTGCTTGTGTTGTCACGAGAGAGACCTCTGCTTGTGTTGTCACGAGAGACCGTGCTTGTGTTGTCACGAGAGACCATGCTTGTGTTGTCATGAGAGACGTGTTGTCACGAGAGACCGTGCTTGTGTTGTCATGAGAGAAGGTGCTTGTGTTGTCACGAGAGACTGTGCGTGTGTGTCATGTCATGAGAGACCCTGCTTGTGTTGTCATGAGAGACCGTGAGAGAGACCTTGTGTTGTCACGAGAGACCGTGCTTGTGTTGTCACGAGAAACCGTGCTTGTGTTGTCACGAGAGACGGTGCTGTGTTGTCATGAGAGACTGTGCTTGTCATGAGAGACGGTGCTTGTGTTGTCATGAGAGACGGTGCTAGTGTTGTCATGAGAGACGGTGCTTGTGTTGTCACGAGAGACGGTGCTTGTGTTGTCACGAGAGACGGTGCTTGTGTTGTCATGAGAGACGGTGCTTGTGTTGTCAGAGACGGTGCTTGTGTTGTCATGAGAGACGGTGCTTGTGTTGTCATGAGAGACGGTGCTTGTGTTGTCATGAGAGACGGTGCTTGTGTTGTCATGAGAGACGGTGCTTGTGTTGTCACGAGAGACCCTGCTTGTGTTGTCATGAGAGACGGTGCTTGTGTTGTCACGAGAGACTGTGCGTGTGTTGTCATGAGAGACCGTGCTTGTGTTGTCATGAGAGACCGTGCTTGTGTTGTCACGAGAGACCGTGCTTGTGTTGTCACGAGAGACCGTGCTTGAGTTGTCACGAGAGACCCTGCTTGTGTTGTCATGAGAGACCGTGCTTGTGTTGTCATGAGAGACCGTGCTTGTGTTGTCATGAGAGACCGTGCTTGTGTTGTCATGAGAGACCAGTCCTCCACTTGGAACTTACTGAAACTAAATGGAATGCTTTGCTCCTGGAAGCTCTGAACAAGCAGAAGTCTTCACCAATCACATACTTGATCTCCAGCACAATTACACTTACCACCGGTAGTGCGTGGCCAAATACAGTACTAGATACTAAGGCGAGTAACAATATCTGGACGAGGTATTAAGGACATCCTTCTGCTCACAACGGGAACCATCCAAGACCAGCCTTGTCGAGGAGGTGCAAGAGTGGGCTCTCTTGGTGGACGCATAGTTATGATGGAATGTGGCATAGAAAGAGTCTGGTGGTCGCTGGTCAAGGACAAACTGCACAGACACAGACTGCAATAAAGTCTGATGACACAATTTCACCACTACATTGATAGGATGGATCGAAGAAACAGCAATCAAGAAAAGACTAACCTACTTGCATCCTATTATGCTATAAAGATGTAATTCCCGACCCAGAACGACCAACTATAACCAGATTATCATCGATGATTACTGGTCAAGATGGGGTCCACCTCCTCCTTAAATTACCAAACATTAAGTTTATTGGACCAAATAAGATCATTCTAGCTGGATCAGATCTCCCTCGCCTCTGCCAACTCCACTTATATCGAGGAATGTCGTCATCTCTGTGGAAGAACGTTGCTATAGTTCCACTCCACAAAAAGTTAAGCTGTTTGATAATTATCAAATATTGAGCGACATCACTGCTGTAACTCACTAGTAAGATTCTTGAGATAAAGATAAACCAAATTAAGAAAAGCAATTATACAATCATTTACTGTGTGGCTGCCATTATGTAAAATAACGTTCTACCGCTGATTTCTTGTTGTGGCTCTCCACTAGTCAGTAG